TCAAAAAGTGCCCTTTTTTGGTCACTCACATTTCGCTCTCGAAATTTCTTCAATGCTTCGATCAATTGATCAATTTTTAATGAATTGATATCTAGTTATCCTTTAGTTTTGTTTAAATCTTCAATTTTGGGAAGCTAACTCTATTTTGACGACACTAAACTTGCCCGTAAAGTGACTCGATTCATTTTTTTGCCCTTTTTTGGTCACTCGCATTTCGCCCTCGAAATTTCTTCAATGCTTCGATCAATTGAAACACGTTTTAGCCTATTTTGTAGAGGAGATTTACAACTTTCAAATAGTTTATAACATTCATCGATTCTAGTTTCAGGTTTCTATCGTTGGAAATTTATGAAAATGTTGAAATCCGCATTTCTTATGCATTTACCTAATATTTTTTATAAAACCTATCCACTTTTATAACTTAATATCCTTTGTGAACTCTTATAGAATCAAAAAATACAAGATTACAATAAAAAGAGATAGAAGAAATCGTTTAGAAAATAGATTTTATAAAAGAAATCTTTGCAAAACTTACACTTTCGTGAAATCTTCAATGAAATCAAATATTTTGGCAATATTTCTTCTAGATAATCAATGATTACATCAAAACGATCATATAAAAATCGATGGCTAAAAGGAAAACGTTTTCAAAATCAAAAATTCTCTAAACTAAACTATTCCAGAGATGATGCCAAAGGATAGTTTTGTTTGAGCTTTAGAAAAGTTCCGTTAATCAGCGCTTCTTCATATTTCTTCCAGAAATAGTACTTTTTTTTGAGAATTTTCAAAAGTTTTCTCCGTTTATCGTTGATTTTCTGAAAATTATCTTTTTGATTTTAAAATAACGTATTTTCTCTTAATAGTCGTGCACCCAGGCGAGCCGAGTTGATGACTATTTTATGGTTTCTAATCTTTTGAAGAAGCTCAACACTCTAATCCTCTACAAGATCTCATCATCAGCTACATTTTCCAACCCCGCATCGATAGGTTCTGATAAGCGATTGTCGAGATTTCGAGCAATTCAGGCAACGCTCCGCTAATATTAGAGAGAATACGGTAAATTAGGTGATTTAGCGATTTAGGTGGAGCGATTTAAGTGGAGCGATTTAGGTGGAGCGATTTAAAGTGCACTACTATTAGGGAAAATACCGTATTTACGATTACGCGCCTGGAAAGGTAACAAATTAGCATTTAATTGCATGATTTCTGTTTTATTCTTTTTTTGAGTAACCTGAGTTCTTGAGTGAATGAGTAAAGAACCGCAAATCTTTTGTTCATATCTAAATACCGTATTCTCTCTAATAGTAGCGCTTGAGCGTCCCTAAATTGCTCGAAATCTCGACAATCGCTTATCAGAACCTATCGATGTGGGGTCGGAAAATGTAGCTGACGATGAGGTCTAGTGGAAGATTAGAGTGTTGAGCTTCTGTGAAAATTTGTTCCAATATGGTTCCAATATGGTTCCAAATATGGTTCCAATATGGTTCCAATATGGTTCCAATATAGTTCCAATATAGTTCCAATATAGTTCCAATATAGTTCCAATATGGTTCCAATATGGTTCCAGGATGGTTCCAATATGGTTCCAATATGGTTCCGATATGGTTTTGTTTTGGTTCCCTATGGGTTTTAAAATGGGGTTGGGGAGGGTTTTTTAAATTTTTATATGGTTCCAATATGGTTCCAATATGGTTCCAATATAGTTCCAATATAGTTCCAATATGGTTCCAATATAGTTCCAATATGGTTCCAATATGGTTCCACATATGGTTCCAATATGGTTCCAATATGGTTCCAGGATGGTTCCAATATATTTAAAAGAGGTAAAGGGTTCAAGGTTCAAATAGGTCGGGGAAGGGCGTTCCAATATAGTTCCAAATATGGTTCCAATATGGTTCCAAATAGTCATCAACTCGGCTCAGCAGGGTGCACTGTTTAAATAGTTTTATAAGTGAGTTTTATGAAAATTTAGTCCTAAAATAGTTTTCAGGGCTATTTTAGGACCGAATTTCCAGACCAGAGCCAGATCACACTCATGAGAATGATTGTTCATGACTGGCTTGTCCTGGCTCAGCCTAGAAAGTTTTGTAAGTCAGCCAGGATCAACTATGACTAGCTCTGGTGATACAAAAGCAAGCTAAGTCAAGGTAAGGTCATCCATTGGTTTAGAAAAGCAAGCTAGGTCAAAGCTAAGTCAAAGCCAGGGCTAGACTAGCTCAAAAAGCTTATGGTTAGGCCAAGCTTGACGTGACCAGCCATGGCTTAGACGTTGAGGATCAACCCTGGTAGGAATCTCCCATTGTACCCATAAAACCCATCCCACCTCTCCCAATTCATTCATCTCCTTTGACAATGAATCCATCGCTTTCTTTTCTTCCTTTCTTTTCTTCATTTCTTCCTTCCTTTTCTTCCTTTCTTCCTCTCTTTTCATCATTTCTTCCTTTCTTTTCTTCATTTCTTCCTTTCTTTTCTTCCTTTCTTCCTTCCGTTTCTTCCTTTCTTCCTTTTCTTTTTCCTTTTCCTTCTTCTCATTTTCTTTTGTACTTTTTGCTGTTTCAGTGCTTTTCGTGTCGACTTTTGCTGTCTCCGATGGTTTTTTCGTTTCTTCTGTCACCTAAAGAGTTATCAAATAATAAAATCTACTTAAACACGGCTTTAAGAACAGCACACTAGAACAGCGGCCAAAACAGCGCCATTCAAAATAGCGCCGTCAAAACAGCCCCATTTAGAACAGCGCCATTCAGAACAGCGGCCAAAACAGCGCCATTTAAAATAGCGCCGTCAAAACAGCGCCATTCAGAACAGCGGCCAAAACAGCGCCATTCAAAATAGCGCCGTCAAAACAGCGCCATTCAGAACAGCGCCATTCAGAACAGCGGCCAAAACAGCGCCATTCAAAATAGCGCCGTCAAAACAGCGCCATTCAGAACAGCGCCATTTAGAACAGCGGCCAAAACAGCGCCATTCAAAATAGCGCCGTCAAAACAGCGCCATTCAGAAAAAAAAAAAAAAAAAAAACAGCGCCATTCAGAACAGCGCCATTCAGAACAATCTAGTGCTTTAAGATAGATAGATAATCTAAAAGATTAAATTTTAGAAAAAAAACTCGGAGATTATTTGGCTCACTTTCTTCTCGGAGATCTCAGTCAAAGTCTCGACTTTTTTCTCTTCTTTTGCCTCTCTTTTCAGTACTTCTTTCCACATTTCCATAAGCTAAATGTAGAGATTTTAAATCGAACATTTATAAATCGAACAACACCAAATCGTTAAAAGACTTAAACCAATCTCACTTTCTCTTTCTCTTCATCACTCAGCTCTTTTTTCTTTGCAGTGAAAGCGTACAGTTTATCGTTTACATTCTCGTTTTTTTCGTTTACAATCCTGTAAATTTGAGAATAAAGTTTCAAAGTTTCCTCTAAATTTTACTAATTTCTGGTCTTTTCCATAACTTCTCACCAAATCGTGTTGATTTCTGGCCGCGTGAAGATCTCAAGCGCAACATTGAACACTAAACTCACCGCATTCGAGCACTCGATTCTCAGGGATTCAGCGATTTCTCTTTTGAGATTCAGCGATCTCTAAAGTTTTGAGAAATAGCCAAACAAAGAAAACAATAGCCAAACAAAACCTGAATGCTTTTCTAGCAATTGTATTGTCAATTGTCAAGCAATTGTCTACTTACCATTTCGTAATGCGGAATGTAATTATTAGACTCTTCAAAAGCACGAGCTTCGGCTTTAATGCCTAAACAATAAATCTAGAATTGTTAAACTTTGAATTTTTTGCTTTAATGCCTAAATACTACATCTAGAATTGTTAAACTATGAATTTTAAACTCAATTTAAGTCAATTAAGTCTTCAAAATCAAGCTAAAAATCGAATTCTTTTGAAAACCCACTTTCAATTGATACATTTATCTCTTTTAAAGCTTTCGGTATCGTTTTAAGAAGGTATTCAGAAAGAATATTCACTCGTTCATCTAACAATTCAAACCTAAACATTAATTTGAAAAGATTTGAGCAAAAATGACAACCATTCCGACAAAACGATATCACTTTTGAAAGCTTTTCGAGCCAAAAAAGAAATGGTACCATCGAAATAGCGATCGTAAATCTCCCAAAAATAGTAGCGAGTCCAGAAAATGGACTTGATTTCCTTGAGCTTCACTTTACTTCTCTGAAAGTTTCATTTTGAAAACCATTTAAAACCATTTCTCAACTTTTCGCGATCAATTTAAAGGCCTTTCAAACCCACAAATAACCCAACGAATCACAATTTACAGTAACCCAATCTACCATAATCGAGAAGATTACATCTCCTAGCTACCATAATCAATTAGTGCATCACAATTTACAATGAGAAGATCGATTTAGATGTAATCTATGGAGATTTAAGGAAAATTATGGTAGCTAGGAGGTGCTTTAGAACATTGGTCACTCGAAATGATCCTGAAACGATCTAAATCTACTCAAAATGTTCTTGAAATGATCAAAATCTACTCAAAATGATCCTGAAACGATCAAAATCTACTCAAAATGATCTTGAAATGATCAAAATCTACTCAAAATGTTCTTGAAATGATCAAAATCTGCTCAAAATGATCTCAAATAATCTCAAAATGATCAAAATCTACTCAAAATGATCTTGACAAAAGCTATTACCTTTAAAAATTCGTGATGTTCTTCTGAAGTCGGTTCTTGATCTAGTTCGCTCACTGGAAAAGTATCACTTTTTTGCGAATTTTCAGCTTTTCTTGTTTCAAGATTTTTTGATGATTCAGCCTTTTGTTTTTCATTTTTTGATGGTTCAGCTTTCAGTTTTGATATCGCCAGTGATTTCTCTTTCTTCCACAAGGCCATAACCTGAAATCAGTCAAATTTAGACGTTTGAATAAGTGAATTCATCAAATCAAATCATCATCATTCATCAAATCAAAAGAATTCATTAAATCTATGCTTTTCTAAAGTGCTTATATTCTTTTTTATTCTTTTCAATGTTTAGTAGACCTTTTTCTTCGTTTCCTTACTCGGATTTGTTTCTTTGGATGTGTAGGCGATGAACAGAGAATTCTCCTGGCATAACCTAAAGAATTAACTAGAGTTAACTAGAATTAACTAGAATTAACTAGAATTAACTTACTTTCGTCTTCAAAATCGTGTTCTCTTTCTCTTTTTATCGTAATCTTGTCTCTATTTTTATCTAGTTTATTTATTTTTTAGTTTTCACATCGGAATCACAACACATTACCAAAAAAACTAGAAGAACAGGAGCACATAGCACATAAGACCTCCCCCCCAAGATGACTGCCATGAACCCTGTTTAACGCTCTCAACTCGGAAAATTTTAACGGACATTTTGATATCCTTTCTCACATAAATAGAGAAAAAAAAGCTAGAGATTCGATAAAAATAGAGAAAAGATTACGGTAGAAAGGGGAATGTTTAAAGAAAGATTATTTGAAAAGAACACTCTTACCATAATGATTTGATATCGACATTCCCAGCGATCACTGCCGGCATCGAGTAAGTCAGCATGTAAATGTCGAGAATCTCAATCTTGAAGCTCTCACCTTTCTTTTCCTGAACATTAGATTTGGTTAAACTTTTTGAAGAGTTCACTTACCACATCACAAGCTCTTGCTAAAACGCCCATCTTTTCAAATTGTTCTCCTTGAGTCTTGATTACTGAAAGAAATCGTTAGATTTATGATTTCAAGTTTCTAAAGACAAGTTGGAGTCGCTTTTTATGATCAGAATCGGTTCAAAGTCAGCTTCTGGCTTTACTTGATCTGACAGATCAATTAAATTAAGCTGACCATGTCTGACTTGGCTTTACTGGATTGAACCTGGCTTCTGACTTAGTTCCTGGCTAAGCCTTAGATTCAGTTGAGGTCCTAGTTCTAGACTTGGTTGTAGAGCAACTCTAAATAATCAGCTTCTGGCTTTACTTGATCTGACAGATCTTGATTCTAAAAATGTGTTTCCCGAGCCAGGCGTAGGCTTAGACTTGGACATAATGAGAAGGCTAGAGGATAGCGCCTAGCACTAAGTCTATTTGGCTTTGTTAGGCTTAGGCTTAGGCTTTTCGGCAAAGGTTTTCGCAGACTTTTGACTTATCTGACCATGTCTTGGCTTTACTGGCTCACAAAAATCCTTGAGCTTGTTAGATTCTGGTCGATCTTTGCCAGGGCTGACCGGCTTTATAAGTTCAAGAACCCTATTGGAACAACTCTAGAATTAGTTTAAAACATTCCAAGTTTAAACTTTAGACTAGGAATAGAATAGATTTTCCAAAAAAAGAAAAAAGCGAACTGGACTTGTGACATGGTCAGGCTGAATCATCAACATTTCCAGGGTTGAACCTGGTTTCTGACTTAGTCCCTGGCTAGCCTTAAATTCAGGTGAAATTCTAGTTCTAGACTTGGTTCTAGAAGAATTCTAAATAATCGTGAAACCTGGTTTCTGATCTAGTCCCTGGCTAGCCTTCGATTCAGTTGATGTCCTAGTTCTAGACTTGATTCTAGAACAACTCTAAATAATCGTGAAACCTGGTTTCTGACTTAGTCCCTGGCTAGCCTTAGATTCAATTGATGTCCTAGTTCTAGACTTGGTTCTAGAAGAACTCTAAATAATCGTGGAACCTGGCTTCTGATCTAGTCCCTGGCCAAGCCTTAGATTCAGTTGATGTCCTAGTTCTAGACTTGATTCTAGAAGAACTCTAAATAATCGTGAAACCTGGTTTCTGACTTAGGCTTAGGCTTAAATTCAGTTGAAATCCTAGTTCTAGACTTGATTCTAGAACAACTCTAATAATCGTAATTGAAAAATCATGCTTACTTGATGGATTAAACCCAATTTTATTCAACATTTCTGGAAGAATCTCCTCCAAATATTCCAACAACACATCTAAGCGTTCCTCGATTTTTTCCTCGATTTTTTTCAATCTGTAATTTAAACTTAGCAACTTCTGTTAAAACCTCAATAAAAACCAGTGTTTTAAGAGGAAATACAATAAAAACTTTACATTTTCCTCTTTGGTTTCCTTTTATATACTTCTTGTATCCATTTTTCGATAAAAGGTTCGATCACTTTTTGTACAGAGTAAATCAAAGCATCCCACAAATGATAATGTTCCCGGAAAATCGCTTGAAAACGTGCTTCTTTCTCGTCAATTCTCTATAATGTAAATGTAAATGTAAATGATGTAAATGAATGAATGAAATCAATGAAATCTTCAATAATAGTTGGATATTTGAATTTTAATCTTTTGTCGATCGCTGATCATCTTGCGCAAATTGTTTTAACAAAATTTATTGCAAAATCTAGCTAAAACTCTATGAGTTATCGATACCGAATTTCAACCACGTTTTCAGCTTTAAAACTGTTTTAACCAACCTCTTTTAGTGAAATTTCTTCTGGAGATAACAAAGGTAGAAGCTGGCTCCACCGAAAAGCCTCCATTTTTCAAAAAAAAGCGAAATAGCTTTTTCAAATCAATGTATAAATAATAGTAATGTGTTGATAAAAAAGAAAGATCTGGGTCGAGAATAAACTACAAATTTGGAGGAAAAGCTGGCAAGATCGAAAAATCGGGAAAATAGTTGAGTTTCTGGGGAAACGCAAAACATTAAACAGAGAAAAGAATGGCATTTTTGAAAAAACTAATTTCCTCTCGTAATCATTGCCGTTTTTTTGAGTGGAATACGTTAAAAATATAAACATAAAATATAAAAATACAATTTATGAAGAAAAAGACAGCTTTTTTTTGTCTTGATATTGAACTATTGGGTTGGGGAGAAGGAGTCGGCGCCGAAAATCAAAAAAAATGTCTGAAACTTCTAGCAGACTTTGTCAAATAATATGCGTTTGATCTCCGTAGAAGGGTTAACTAATTCTCTACAAAATGACATTTAAAAGAAAATTCAAACAGCGCCTCCGCTCAAGAAAAAGCCATTATTTTCACAAAAAATGCTATGTTTAGGTATTAGATTGGTGTTAGGGTTAAAACGAGAGGCTCAAAACTATTATGCCAATTTGGCGGTGATTGCCCGCCATTCAGCAGCTAATTTTTACATCATTCAGCATTCGTCTGAATGATGTAAAAAACAGAAACAGCGTATAATTCTGCGTCGAATCGTCTATATGTCGCAGCCGATTAAGGATTTCAGCCGAAGAAGTCTCAGACTTCTTCGGCTAGCCGATTAAGTCTCAAATTTTTTTGCTAGCGAAACCTTCTTCGGCTAGCCGATTAAGTCTCAAACTTCTTCGGCTAGCCGATTAAGTCTCAAAATTCTTCGGCTAGCCGATTAAGTCTCAAACATGAAATCTTGAGTTATGTATTGACTGAAGTCAATACCACAAACTCAAGCTCTCTAAAAGGCGCTAAAAAGCTAAAAACGCATTCTAAAGAGTGCGCATTTTATGATACTGTAACCAAAGGCTATGAAAGGGCCCTTTTCGCCATTTTCTATCTGATTCGTCATTTATTTGAAATAGAATTGTTTGTTTTTGTAAGTCAATTTGCCCCTTTGTTGGATCATCGATAAAACTTATTTACCACTAATCTGTTTATAATCGAACATAACCCCTTATTTCAATCCTATTTTTTCTTTTTGTTACTGTGCATTTTTTGTTTAAGCTACACTAATTTCTTTTGAAGAAGATTTCCGAAGAAGTCTGAGACTTAATCGGCTAGCCGAAGAAGGTTTCGCTAGCGAAAAAATTTGAGACTTAATCGGCTAGCCGAAGAAGTCTGAGACTTCTTCGGCTGAAATCCTTAATCGGCTGCGACATATATATTCTCGGAAAAAATCACAGGACCCAATCATTCTTCCCTTGTTAGATACAGAGCAAATCATCGAGTGTTTAAAAGATTTTAGAAACAAGAAAATACTGTAAAGAAAGATTCTTTGCGTGCTTGGTACTCTTCACTCAAGACACGTTATTTCTTGTTTCGAGATATCTGAGCTCACTTGAACTAAGACAATTGACAATTGACAATCAATAGCCGATTGACTCGGAATTTTTGGGCTTTTCTTGAGTTTTGAGTCTTGACTTTAGCAATTTTCACACAAAATCGACAATTGAATTAAAAGCGACGATAAAAACGGAAACAATTTCGTCCTAATTAGGAAACAACTTTCACACGATGAAAGGAAAACAAAAAAAAAGTAAAAAACATCAAATGAACAACAGTTGCCTTATCTGGGAGGTAGTCAAATGAGCGCCAAAAATTGAGCGCCAATCATTTCAGCGCCAATCATTTTAGCGCGCGTTCATTTCAGCGCACGTTCATTTCAGCGCCGCACCAAAAATGACTGGAAAACATTCATTTCAGCGCCGAATCAGCCCATTCTGTATATGCATGTTATTTTTGCATTTTCTGCATGATCTCAAAGTTTTTACTGAATGTTTTTATCTAAATCATCTAAAGATAAAAATAATTCTTGGTCCATTTTTAATCGCCAGCTTCCGTAGTTGATGAGCAGTTTGAATTCGTGATGACTGTGGAGAGAGTTGGGGAAGAGTCAGTTGCTTCTGTGCAGCAAGAACAAACATCTTCTCGTACGTTTCTTGAACCTCCAACAGTTTCATTGCCACAAATTGTGCAGAACATTTCGATGTGATTTCCTAATAAACAAGATGTAAAAAGATTTTTTAAAAGAGGTACTTTCAGTTTGGCGTTATAACCTTCTTGTGATGATGATCCAATTTGTTCATCCCTCATAACAGCGCCAAATGAGTTCCAGGTTTCAATGGGGTGAAGCGGTAAAACATAACGATTCATAATTCATTAGGTGGCAAACCACAAATTTGCGCAGTGTGTGAAGAAATCGTTGCGACAATTGATCCATTGTAGTGCACCCGGCCTTTGCAGCCTGCTTTTGTGCACCTAAAGTAATCCAAGTAATTAAGAAACTATTGGGTTGGGGAGAATGAGTCGGCGCCGAAAATCAAAAAAATGTCTAAAACTTCTATTCGACTTCGTCAAATAATATGCGTTTGATATCAGTAGAATGGTTAACTAATTCTCTACAAAATGACATTTAAAAGAAAATTCAAACAGCGCCTCCGCTCAAGAAAAAGCCATTTTTTCACAAAAACTACAAACTGTGATCTAGAAAAAAACCATTGGTGGAACCTTCCTGCAAATTTGGCAACTTAAGTAATTGAATGTGCTCTATCTTTTTTATATAAACACCAAAGAAGGTTTATGTGAAAGAAACTGTTCAAATGATGAGTCGGGCTCTTTGCCATTTTAACCAGCTGCGTTTGGAAGTTCATAAACTCCACGAAAGAAAAGCTTTGTGGAATCTCTCAAAAGTCATTTTGTAGAGAAATAGTGGATCCTTTCGATGAAACCAAACGTATGTTTAAAGAAGGCTTTATGTGTGCAAAAAAGTCCCTTTAAAGTTGGGCGCCGACTCATTCTCCCCAACCCAATAACTTGCTAAAAATTAACATAATGTAATTAAACCTTACCTGTAAGATCTTTTTCCGCTCTTTAGAACTTTGTCTTTCCTATACTCGAACATCTCATCGTCGTAAATCAATCCTTTCGCTCGTTGTGACATCGCAATCATCTAAAGATAAAAATAATTCTTGGCAGCAAAATAAACCAAAATAAATCATGAACAAAACGTTACTTTGACTCAGAGTGTTCCTTTGTCTCGCCACTTCTTGCGCAGTTCACGAGCCTAAGCAAAGAACTATGTTAAACTGTAAGCAAATTGTAAACGAAAACGGCAAGAAACGGTGAACAAAGCATGCTATTGGGGGAAAATATCATACAACTAGCAAATTTACACATTTTCATCAAAAAAACCTTAAATACGAGCTAATCTAACAATTTTTTTTCCGCGCATTTGGTGCCTACTGCCGTGCCCTAGGTCAAATGAGTGAAAAAAGTGTAAAAACAGAAGCAAAACCCTAAAAAACATGCAAAAGCAGCGTAGAAAGCAAAAATATTAAAATTTAGTCGCGCTTAAATGAACGTTTTTAGGCCTTTTTAATTTGGCGCTCAAATGATTGTTTTCCAGTCATTTTTGGCACGGCGCTCAAATGAGTGGCGCTAAAATAAGCGTGAGCCAAATCGTTGGCGCTCAAATGATTGGCGCCCAATTGTTGGCGCCCAATTGTTGGCGCTCATTTGACTACCTCCCCCTTATCTAGGCTTTAACACAAGGTATTCAGCTAACAAGTTGCAAAAACAATAAATGATTTGGGGCGCGAAATACAGGGTGCGGCAGAATTTTGGGGGGGGGGGGGTTTCATTGGGGAAAGAAAAAAAAAAAAAAAATTTCCAAAAAAAAAATTTAAAAAAATTTTTTTATAAAAAAAAAAAAAATATTTTTTTAAAAATTTATAATTTTTTTTTTTTGTTGGATTGGGAAATTGGGGGGGTGGGGGGAGGGGGGGGGGGGGGGGGGCCCAAAAAGGGGGGGTACGCCCCCCCCCCGACAAAAAGGGGAAATTTTAAAAAAATTTTTTTTTTTTGGGGGGTTTTTGTGGGGGGTCGTTTATAAAAAACAGCCCCCGGGAAAAAAAAGGGGAGGATTTGGGGGGATGGGGGGGGGGGTGGGGGATGGGGGGGGGGGGGAGGGGGGGGGGGGGAAGATTATTTAAAAGATAGGTGTGTGAATGGGGGGGGGGGGGGCGGGGGGGGGGGGGGGGGGGGGGGGGGGGGGGGGGGTTTTGGGGGAGGGGGGAAAAGGGAGGAAATTTTTTTTTTTATTTAAATTTAGGAAATGATTTGAATTTGGGTTGACCATAGGGGGGGAAAAAACGGGGGGGGACACCCGGAAGAGCCACGACCATGAAGGCTTTGTGCTTTTCTCATGCCTAAAAACAAAGCTGCATCTAGCACAT